CCAGCCCGAGTAGGAATGATCTCAATTCCCAAGAAAAAAAATGAAGAGATCCCATATCCTTAAGAGAAAACATATTACCCACTTGCTTAATAATATTGGCCACAAGAGTTGAATTATTTCAAGTAATGAGTAGATCATCAATGTAGACTAGGAAATAAGAAAGAGTGGAGTCTTGGCTATAAATAAAGAGAGAAGAGTCAACCTTAGAATTTTGAAAACCCAGTTGAAGAATGGAATTTTTTAGGGCAGTGTACCATGCCCGTGGAGCTTGTTTAAACCCATAAATCGCCTTGTTCAACCTGCAAACATGGTGAGGTTTGGACAAATCTTTGAATCCCAGGGGTTGTGCCATAAAAACAGTTTCAGTCAATTTACCATTTAGAAAGGATTTGTTGACATCCAATTGCCTCAAATCCCAACCATTCATTACTGCAATAGATAAGATAGCTCTAATAGTTGCTGGTTTAACAACATGACTAAATGTTTCTTTGTAATCAACACCAGGACGTTGGTGATAACCTTTAGCAACTAGACGTGCTTTGAATCTGTCCACTGACCCATCTGCTTTCCTTTTTACTTGGAAGACCCACTTACAGCCCATGGGTTGACAGTTGGAAGGTGGTAAAACTAGGTCCCAAGTCCCATGTTTCATTAGAGCCGTGAGTTCAGTGGACATGGCTTCATGCCAGTGAGGTTGAGAGATGGCTTGGCTCACACTCGTTGGTTCTATGGTTGGGGAGAGAGGATATTTAGACACAGTATGGATCTGTTTGGGTTTAAAAATTTGATTCATTGGACATGTGGTCATGTTATGAGCACGTTGAGGGGGATTATTTGTTGGGGAAGGGTTTGCGAGATTAAGATTTGAGGGATTATAATCAGTACCTAGATGGGTATCCGTAGAGAAAATAAGAGAAGATGGTGGGAGATTTAATGAAGAAACAATCTTATTTTCAGCTAGAGGAGGACTCGGATTAGAGATGGTGTGATCTAGAGCATGAAAAGAATCATGAAGTAAAGAAATAGGGGGTTCAAAATTACTTGGAGAAGACGTGACAATGGCAGGAGGACCTTTCGGAAGGTGCGATGATGCTGATGTGCAGGAAGGAACTGCAGGTTGCTGAACACCGAAGAAAAGATGAATGAATGTCTGAGGGTCAAGGGTGTTTTCGGGTGAGACGGAAGGGATAGGTTGAAAGGAGCTGGAGTAGTGGTTGGTCTCATCAACAACATGTGTCGTGAAAAGAAGAGTTTTTTTGGTTTGTGGTTCAAAGCACTTGTATGCGTTTTGAGTTGGTGAATAACCAAGAAAGATACAGGCTTTCGATTTGGGCTGTATTTTATTTGAGTTATAGGGTCGGGTGAGGGGATAACAAAGGCAACCAAATTTTTTTAATTTTAAATAATTTAGTTTTTGATCAAAAAGAGCTTCAAATGGTGATTTTTCGTGAAGAAGGGGCGTGGGCTGTCTATTTATGAGGTAAGAGGCTGTTTGAAAGGCATGAGGCCAATAAGAAAAATCAAGATTTGCATCATGAAGAAGCGTAAGGCCCGTTTCAACGAGGTGACGACGTTCAGAGACACCATTTTGTTGCAGGGTTTTTGGAGCACTGGTGTAGTGAGTTATTCTATGAAGTGAGAGATATAATTTCAAAGCAATATACTCACCACTATTGTCTGAATATAGTGTTTTGATTGATTTTTGAAAGCGAGTTTCAACAAACTTTTTGAAATGTGAAAAAATATAAGAAACACTGGATTTAGTGATCATTGGATAAAACCATATATATTTTGTATAATGATCGACAAAAATAAGGTAATATCGTGATCCATCAATGCCGGTATAACTAGAAAGACCCCATACATCCGTGTAAATCAGTTCAAGGGGCTCATGACTTTGAAGACTATTGACGCGAAAGGGTTATTGATGAGCTTTATTAATAGAACATGAATGACATAGTGAAGACAAATTTTTATTGGATGAAATAGGAAGAGAGAAAAATTCTTGACAAGACGATGAACAATTTTAAGAGAATGGTGCCCAAGACGCTTATGCCAACCATCAATAGAAGTCTGTTCATGTACATTAGCAACCTTTTTAGATGTCATCATTGAGTCCGGAAAGGTATAGATGCCATTGTCACATGCTCCATTTAGTAGAATCACCCCGTTATCTTATCCTTCACAAGAAAATAGAAAGGGTGAAATTCAACAATGACATTGTTTTGTTTGGTGAGATGATGAACAAGAATTTAATTTTTGCAAAGGTTTGGAACACAAAGGGTATCATGCAATGTAAAAGTGCGGTGAAGGTAGTGCAAAGACAAAGAACCAATGTGTGAGACTGCCAAACCTGAACCATCACCGAGAGTTACTTCGTCAGTTCCATCATATTCAGAATGAATAGATAAATTGGAAAGATCACCCGTGATATTATGAGAAGCAGCCGAATCAAATAGCCAATTTTTGTCCTTTCCATTGGAAGAGGTGGCACAATTGATGGAAATATTCTGGAGTTAAATTTCGGACAGTACTTTGCAATGTGTCCCAGCTGATCACAAAGTTGGCATTTGAGTTGATAACGCCGATTGGAATTGCGGGCTTTCCAGAATTGTTGTTGGAGCAACGCCCATCACATTGGTTTCCATGATTATTGCAGTCGGGGCTGAAGCCTTGAGTTCCACGTGCAACATCATTTTTCTTGAAGGACCAGGGATTGATTTCCCCCTTACGTAGACTGCTTCGTCTTCGTGAAGTTTGCAGAAGAAACTAGTTGATGCGTTACAGCTTCCATGCGCCGTAGATAGGCTTCATGTCCAACCAGAAGGTCGTGTAAATCCTCAAAGGCCAGTGAAGATTCTCGGGCTCTAATAGGCGATGTTATTTCTCGAAAATCTGGACCTAAACCATTCAACACATAAAGAGTTAGGTCATCATCTGAAATGGAATGATCAATGATGGCTATTTCATTAGCCAAGGCCTTCACAGAGTGGAGATATTCGGTGATTGACCGATTTCCACGCTGAATTAGTGTGAGTTCTTCTTTTAACTGCATAGCACGAGTTCGAGATTGACTAGCATATAAATTTTTAATCTTTTTCCAAGCTTCATGAGAGGTCTTTGCCGTAACAATAAGGGGGTGATTGAATAAGATGTGGAAGCTAAAATAGCACTCAAGATTAGTTTATCCTGTCGGACCCAATGGGTCTTATGCAGCGCATCAGCAGCGGTACTAGCGGAAGAGGGGCACTGAAGGGTGCCTTCGACATAGTCGAGTAAATCGTAACCAATAAGGAGGGCTTCGAATTGAGCACGCCATTGAGGAAAGGTGGAGGGAGTTAACTTTTCATTGAGTTGTGTAGTAATGTTGAGAGCAATAAGTGGTTTATCAGTTGCGGAAGAAGGTTGGGTATTGAGAGTAAAGGTTGGATATTGATCGGATGAGGAAGACATGGGAGTTGCTTGGATCGGGGACTTGGTAGAGATTGGCTCTCCTGATACCATGTAAAGAAATGAGTTTTGCAGTAATTTTCAATGAATAATTTTCCACAGTTTTCATTGATAGATGATTGAAATTATATACAGAAAGTTGTACAGCTAAGAAAAGGAAACAAGCAAACCGTAAGGCTAAAACTAAGCTATTATTACAAAATACCATCCTGGAAATCAGCCTTAAAACCATTCTCCAAATATAGAAAATTTGACAGAATATTGACCATGATTTTCGGCTATACATGCTCTGTTTTGGTTTGAATGGAATCCTCGCATGCTTCCCTTATAAGGTCAAGTTGATAATTAAAGCCTGGTCCATACAAATGTTAATCAGGTTGCAGTTGATGGAAGTAAATGACCGACATCTTCAAAATCAACTCATTGTCTTGCAAGAAGGGGCACTTAGACTCACGACCACGAACCTTCTGATGGAAAACACCTCAGCCCTTTCCATGGCATAATCATTACAACAATCTAACTTCAACACTCTGTATTGACGCGACATCATAGTAATTGTCAACAGTCCATTAATGCCACTAGTACTATATCAACATAATATATGTAAAATTTGAAATCAATGTATTCAAGTTGCTAAAAGGGTGATGGTTTCAAAACTGCTTAGAAACCGATCTCAGGTTTTTATGAAACAGACTTTATCACAATGCATAATAGTCTTCATAATTACCGGGTTTTTTAAATTTATCTGATCATTGCTCTGTCTGGTATGGATTATAAAGCCAGAATTTAGGCACTAGCTAGGTTCAAGTGTTCCACAAGGTACAATCCTCTTGAACTTTGGTTACCTAGAATATTTAATAATGTTTTATATTATATAGACTGGAGGAAATTTATGAATAATTTAACTGATCATCATGGTATGTTTTTCGCAAAGTTATGGGTCACACAAGCACACGTCAATGAAAATGAGAACAAATGAAGTGGGTCCTTTTCCATTAACAATCATGTATAAGGTACCTAATTAAAAATGCATATGAAATAAAACATGGATTAATTTATAAATGTAGTATAAACCGACCCAGGCCATCTTAATTATTCAATGTTCAAGTAAATGTATAAAATTAGAAGTTCGGGATTGGAATAGAAATGGATTAATAGTTTGTGGAGTTAAGCTTATGATTTTATGCAAAGCTTTTGATATCAATCTTTAAGCTATTATTTTCCCATAATCATGCAAGAAAGCCATGTTTCAGCTTTCTAGTTCATAATTGTGGAATAATGAAATCAAGAGGTAGCTAGGCATATTAAAAGAAACATTGATACATATATATGAATTCAGGCTTAAATAATCTAAAGTTAATTACATATTTTCCAGGGTATTGATAAATCTAGTCTTCAACAATGGGGCCTAGCTAGCTGCTTGGTTCCTTTTGTTTTAACCCCTTTTTCCTGTGCATGTCTCCCTCACCGCCCACCTACTTTAAAAGCATATTACTCGGCCTTATTATGAAGGTGCTTTCTTCCTCAACTCTCATTTTTCCAGTTACTCTTCATCAAAATCATAGCATATAAGCAAAACGTTATTCTCTCCCTCCCTCAGTTCTCCAAACATGAAAGGAACGGATATTTTTTGTGCTTCTCAAGCTTCAACAGCCATCTGCTCTAGTGTGGTGGACCACCGTTCCATGGTCCGCCATGGCCATAGGCGTATCGATCGCCAGAGTTCTAAGCCTTATGCACCTTGTAATTCATCTCAATTGCCTATAATTCCCAGGCCTTACCATGAAAAGAGTAGGAAGAACAGTGTTAAGCCAAGTGATGTAAAGAGCTCTCCGGGTTCATCTACATGTCTTCTAAGTGATAGACCCTTTATCGATTGGTTACCAGAGTCTGATCGTGTCTCGCCATCGATTCATCCTTCTCAACCTGCAAAACCTAAGCTGCATGAAAGCTCCAACAACAATTCTTCTCCTGCTTTAAAGTCCTCTTCATCTGCTCGATCTCACAACCAGGTAGGTCTTTAATCTCTCTTCTTTTTCATTTGATCGTAAGAAACAGCTACGAAGTTAAGGTCGGATTTCATTTCACTTTAATTTGTACTTGAAAATAATAGGTCGTTGTTTTGTGGGTATCAATCCATTGCAAAGGATGTGAAGGAAAATTAAGAAAACATATCTCCAAAATGGAAGGTGAGAATCACTGATTAAAAATAAACAGGAAACCCTAACTAGTTTAGTGGTTTTGATCACGAAGAACTTGCAGTAAGTCATGGTTTTTTTCTTTTTTCTTTTTTGCAGGAGTGACATCATTCAGTATAGATTTACCCTGCGCCATCTCAATCTTCTCCAACGGTGAAAATGGATTACTGATTCAAAAGATAGAAAAAAGAAACAGGGTTTTCTTTCTTTCTTTTAAATGGAGTGATTCACCATGTACTAATCAACATTTGAACTGTAATATAAATTAATCAAATGTAATGTTTCTTCTTGGCAGATTGTTTTGATAATTAGTATTAATCCTTTGCATGTTGCTTTTGTGTTTTTCTGATCATTTCAATTTCTAGTCTCAACTGTAAAATTAATCAAATGTAATGTTTCTTCTTGGCAGATTGTTTTGATAATTAGTATTAATCCTTTGCATGTTGCTTTTGTGTTTTTCTGATCATTTCAATTTCTAGTCTCCATATCCGACAGTATGCGCGATTGTATATGGTTATAGAAAGCGAAATCTGAGAAATGTCAGAAAAAAGTTTCATCATATGTGATTCTGATCAAACAAAGTTACAAAATAACTGGTCCCCAAGGATGAATCTCCAGCGTGATCTGATGCATATAAGGATGAGTGCAATAAGAAGAGCATGATAAAGAATTTAGGGTGACGAGAAACTGTGGTGGGATTATCTGAACCCTAGCTTGTGGCAGAACAGATTTTTTAAGGTGGGACAGGATTATTCTAACCTTTTTCTTCTGTCTTCTGGATGGACCGAGAATCTAGTGGGTAGCTGTACATTCTTCCAATTGGCTTAACATGAACTCAAAGCTTAACGTCTGTTCTTCTTTCAGTTTTTGTTATTGTTTACTCGTGATGTGATTTATTAAAATAATATTATTTAATTATGGATTAAATCTTTAATCATGTAGTATTCGAATCGATGAAGATATAACCTTCCAGAATTCCCAGACCACCTTTGGAGGTGTTGTTGGTCAAACAAGGCTGCTAAAGGTTCATTACAGAGCAAATAAATATGGATAATAGCTTGCCTTATTTTTGAAAGAGATATAGAAGGGAATGGATTGACCTTCAACTGCAACTTCAAGTTGACGAGCCAAAAGCCAGGCATATTTGGCCTTAGTTTTTCCTTGGCAAAGTATCATGGGACCAATCACTCGAAGATAAGTATCCAGCAACAGTAAAATAGGTTTCTAGTGATGTTTTCTTAGTCCTATAGCGGCGTTTTTAAGCATCGCTAAAAACACTACCAACTCTAGTAAGAGCGCCGCAAGAAGCGCCGCTAAAACGAACGCCGCAAAGTTAGCGCCATTTGTGAACCTAAAACACCTCAAAAGGTTGAGTTATATAGCGGCGTTTGTTCTTTCAAACGCCGCTATATGTTGTGATTTATAGTGATGTTTTTATCCAAATACCGCTAATTATCCTATCTTTATTTACCTCAACGCCGCTAATTCTATTGTTTAGTTGTGTTTGTAATACAAAAAGCCGCTATATATTATGATTTGTAGTATCATTTTTATCATAAATGTCACTATTTGCAAAAGGTTGGCATATACAGGTTTGATTGGGTTGCTCTTCGTTGAACTTATAAATTGTTGATCATCACTATCTTAATCCTTAAACTTCCATTAATACTAATATAATATTATTTTACTGATGATGGCAACTGTTATTTTGCAGTAACCAGAAGCCTAGTTCTCTCAAGCAACATTCTTTTCAGAGCGAGAGAATATGAAGGTAAGTAATTTATTAAAGAAAACTATTTATCATCATTCATTGTACATTATATCTTTAAAGAATATCAAGTTCAAAGCTAACAAACTAAACTTTCATAGCTTTAAAGAATATATTTGCATTCCTTGGAGCCCCCAAAGCTTTAAGCAGCCTGAAGTATACGAGAGAAGATTCTTCAGTACATGATAGGGTATCAAGTGGAGCACATAGCATTGCATAACTTGGAACTAGCTCTTACCAAGTTCAAGGATTGGTGGAGCAAATTTCAAAGCTTGAAATGCCACATGATATTAAATAATGAAAAATTAGAATCTTGAGAGCAAACATAACTTGGTAAAGAAGAGGGCAAAGTCATCCATATATCGAGTAAGATTTTGTGTACCTTGCACAAAGAGCAAACGTAACAATAGGTGCATATTAAAAGGAAAAGAAAATTGACAAAGAGCAGTTGCTTCACCAAAAACTGTAGTTGCTTCTTCAACAACACCTAAAATAATTAGACACAAAAGAATATAAATATGAATGAATATATGAGAACAAGCACTAAATGGTACTAGAATAGGAACACATGAAAAATGAAATATTGTGTGAAACAAAATCAAGCCAAACTAAAATAATTTGCTGAGCCGTTTAAGTGGCAATTCACAATACATGAAATTTTATAATTTAGCAATAAACAAATTTCCATTTTGTCATCATAACCTTTTCATTTTAGACCAATTTATAGCAAATAGTGTGTTCCAGTAATGGGATCTGATTATTTTTTACAATCCATATAGATAACCAAAACAAAATAAAACAATAGTAAAGAGAAGAAAACTCGACCAGATTGTAAGTTGTATATCAGTTTGCCTAGACAGTATGAACAAATGAGTAACTATTATAAATAATGAGTCTTCCCAAAAGAGAGTAGCTTTTTTTCCCTTTTCCAAGAAATGTTTCAACTTTTTTCATCAAATAGTAAACTTACAGAAGAATCAACTCAGTTTATTTCATTCAAACAATAACAAGCCTTGGTGAAAATAGAAAATAAAACAAAAGAAGTTTTTAACTTGAACCCAGAACGAAACAAATTAACAAAACCTTGTTGTATCCCCAATCTGTAACTGAATTGACCAACAAAGTGCAAAAGAAAATTTTGGTCTCTTTCTACTATGTAATCTAGTTCTTTTTTTTAATGAGGATCAAATTAAGATTGTGTTTCAATGTCCACCATGCAGTGTATTAAGCAACATTATATAAAAGAGAAAAAGCAAGGACAACCATCAACGCAAAGTCATACACATCCTTCCCATTTTATCATGCAATCTTAGGAGAAAATTCTAGGCAGAGTCGAAGCATATTTCAGCAAAAAGATGGAATTTTTTTCTCCTCAAATTTTGCCATATCTTCCACAGTTAATGAAGAAATAACCCAGCTGACCTGTAAATAAGTCCAAGAAGATAATGAACAGCTGCATCATTTGGGATCTGTACATAAAGCAAAAGGAATTAACTACATATTGTCATCCCAATAATATTGTGAAAGCCTCAAAAAAACTCATAAGATCGGTCACCCAATGCCTCTCCACCAGGCTTATTAGCATGACATAAAGTTGTTTCGTCTTCACTAAGTAGATCCATCTAAAAGCATAATATTGCAAAACAGGTAGCGGGATTGTGCGGTTTGTGTTCCTTCACAAAACGGGAAAAAAACTTTAGATTAACAACAAAATAACAAACTAGTCATGATATGGAAATAGACTTTGAGTAAATACACCGAAGCAGCTTAAGACAAGGTAATAGGCATACCCTTTAGAATATGATAGGCAGAGTAAGCTTGATTGTTCTGCAAGTAGAAAACAGCTAACAACTGCAAGTTCACCTGCATATAAGTCAAACGGTGATATCTTAGTTAATTGTGTACAGTAAAAGAACCAACACTTAAAAATAAAAATAGTTTGCCCAATTTAGAATCTTAATGTCATTAATTTATCAAATTTCACTACCACAAATCTATGTTCTCTAAAAAAATGAAGGGAGCACTAAAGCTCAAATTAAAATTGATGCATCAAAATCACATAGAAATTTGAAAAATAAACCAAATCAGAAACTAAAGATTATACATACCGCAAACTAAACACTAAAAATAATATAACCTAGAGGGGGAAATAAATTAAATTTAAAAATCAATTAATCACCAAGGAGTGATAGAATTGACACGCACAATTGATCTCGAAAATCCAACGAATAATTTTAATTTTCCCCTTTTTTTTGCAATCAATTTTAAAAATCCGAAAGAGTGAAAATTCTAACTAGAAACCAGAAAGGATTCCCAATTTCTTATTTTCTGCATGGAAAAATCTTGAGAAAAAAAAAGAAAGGTAAAGGGGAAAGGGAACTTATAGAAGAACAAAATGAACAATGCCTTCGGAGCTAGCATCTGATTCCAGCAACCCAACTTGAAAACGAGAGAAGGTAAATTACGATGCGATGGAGGTCTATCTCAGGGAGATATAGAAAAGGCAAGTCGGAGAGAGAAGACGGTGAATTGAGAGAAGGTAGAGCTATTCTGAACGTTGTTCCGAAGGGAAAGAGAGATTTGTGAAGAAAAGAAGAAGGTGGGACAAAACTCATTTGAGGACACAGTGGGATTTTTAATAGGGGTTTCGGTGTGTAAATTGGGATAATGCGACATTTGCCATTAAAGTACATGGTATTAGCAACGTTTTTCATAAAACACCATTATATATTAGTTTATATTGGCGTTTGTAACACAAACGTCACTAAAGTATGTGTTTATAGTGACGTTTTCCTAAAACCGCCACTATATATTGGGTTATCGCGGTGATTTTTTTATATAAACACCACTAAAGTACGTGTTTATACTGGCACTTTCCCATAAACGTCACTATATATCGGGATATCACGGTGTTTGTCTAAAAACGCCGCTATATGTAAAAAATTAATGACGTTTTCTCTAAAAACGCAGCTAAAACCACCACTACAAATTTTTTTTGTTGTAGTGAGCTTAAATCACATAGTAAAAGATATAAAAAAGACTTTATTAGTTTTAAATATGATTTTTATTATATCTATAATAAATAACGGGTTAGAATATATTAGATATCTTCATCAAATATCAATAATAATCATTTTACATTCGGACCTATGATTTTAAAATAAAAATGATAATCTTCTTTCTTTTCTTTTCCTCGATAAATAGAAAATTTTCTCCCCTCTCCACCTCTTTCTTCTTCTTAAAAGCATCATTACAGCTCTCCTTGAACACCCACTATAACAAGATTTTCTATGAATATATTACATTACTTAACAATTTTTCATTCAAATCAAATCAAAAAATAAACTATCACTGACGTTTAAAATCATTATCTCATTTGTTATATATTAATAAAATTTAAATATAGAAAAATTAAACAAAATACCGAATAATGTTTTGGTTGTAATCCTATTACAGAGCACTGTCTTCCCTTTTACATCCCCTCAAAACCAGCAATAGTGTAAATGTGGGCAAATAATTCAATCCGTACGTAGCCGTCTGCCTTTCCCCAGGACCAAACTAAATGATGAGTTCCCAAGGCACAACTTTTGGTTTCATGTGAATGTCTATTTCGTTTTCCAAAGTGTGGGTCTAACTCCAACTCTACCTCCTCCTATTGCTTTCCCCCCCCCCCCCCCGTTTTTTTATAGGTAGACAGTACATTAAAAGAGAAAATTCTACATATAAATATTAAAATTCAGGTTTCAATCCATGTTACATTTTTTAAATAACTTAATTAAAAGAAAATCATTTACTATATATATTTGAATATTAAATTAAATTAAATCAAATATATTTAATTATTGAATCAAAATCAAATTGGATTTAACTATAAATCAAACAATAAATACTATTTGAATTAATTAAGAACTTTGTCCAATTTTTTACCTCCTACAATATATTCAACAATAAATTATATGAAGTGAATACGAGTGATTGCATGAATCATTGTTTCCTTTCATGCTTTTATGGTCATTAATATTGAAATGGACAAAAGGGAAAAGAGATAATTGGGTAGGTGTGGCAGTGAGATATATTCCAATTTTCTCATCACATTGATGATTTGATAAGTCACTGCTTCTTCTTCTTCCCCTGCTCTTAATGCTTTGGCCTTCACTTATTTTTACCGGACGGGGGCAAAAATAAAATATTAGAAAAAAGTTAATAAGCATTCTGGGCTATTTTTCCCATATATTACTTTTGATTTTGAATTATATTTTTATTATTTCGAATTTGAGAATGAAATGCATGTTTTTTTAACAATTACAACTTAATTTCATCGATAAAAACAATAGAAAAATCGAAATCACAAACGCACTCAAATATAGAAAAGAATAGGGACAACAGTCATAAAAAACCTCATATATAAAATAAAAAAATTAAACCTAGAGAAAATAGGGACAATAGTCATGAATTGCACTTACGAGTGACGTCTAACATAAAAAAAACTCAATAACTCTCATAAAAACTTATTGTCTCTATCAAATGAGACGTTTTACAAAGTGATAAAGGAGTGATGAGTGAACCAAACTATCTGGTAGGTTACTTCATGATACAATTCTGATTATATAGGAAAACAACATTTTATCAAAGAGATGACCTGACTATATGTGACTACCATCAAACTAATAAGAAAACAAATGTCGTGAAGGTCTTTATACTAACACCAAAATGACAGGAGATGTATAAAAAAAACCCTATCAAAAGTCATAAGGAACGTGCCAAAGAACATAGAAAAAGCGTGACACAAGAGCAGGAAAAACGTGACACAATGACAAATTCTTATTCAAAATTGAAAAAAAAATCAAGAAAAAGGAAAAATAAACTCAAGAGAAATAATAATCACCGGAAGTCGCCAATCAATATTAAGATTGGTGTCGTTATAGGCTAAAAAAAAGTCAATTGGAAAGAAAAAGACGGATTTAAAAAAAAATTAAGAGAAAACCTTGGTTATGAGATGCATGTTTTATATACAAAATTAGATGAGATTTTATATGATTACGAGCTTCAACTCCATATTTGTAAGTATTTTAAAATCTCCACTAAGTAAACATTTAATAATCATGAATTAGAAAAACTATTAAACTCGTGATTTGTTTTTTATTTTATTTAAATCGTGCATTTGTCTTGTTAGTTGTTACACAGTTTATATATTTTTTTGGGAGATCCAAATCCAGCACGAAGGGAATTTCTTTTGATTCTAAGGAAAAAACATTAGGTAAAAATTAAGATTCTTTTGCAACTATGATAAGATATTAAGAATGTTAATAAATTTGTTATATATAATTCAAAATTGTGAAAAATACTAAATTACTAATTTGCTCAATTATTTGAATTCCTGTGGCACTAAAATCGCATCTTGCATGACTTAAACCTTTAGCTAAATTTTCAAACAATTCATAATTAATTAAATAATAAAAATTAGGAGAGAAAAAGCAATTTGAATTCGAAATTGATAATATATCCTAGAAAGAAAGAAAATATGGGAGGGCAAAGTGAAGGAGCAAGCAAAGACTTGTACGTGTCAAAATCAAATCCTTAAAAACATCCAAAGTACCTTTGTTCATTTTCTTTACCTTCCGGACACCAAGTTTTAATTATTGAATATGAAAAATAGATAATGTTGCTATGTTTATAAATTACTAGGTAATCTTTGTGTACAGATTTCAATAGCACGACAATTGGAGTGGTTAGGAGTTAGCTTAGCTCACTTAAAAAGGACAAATCATAAAGGGACAATCAGGCATTCCCTCTGCTCTCATTAATATCGCCATCCGCAAACTAAATTTGGATTTGAGAATACTAAATTCGGGTCATTAATAATGATATTTTAAATATTTTTTATGTTTGTTATACGACATATGAATTAATAGTCAAACCCTCTGACAAATCAACTTGTAATTATCAAGAATTAAATCAAGATCAATGAAATTCGAGTGTACATTTACGCCGATGGCAAGGGTTTAGTTTTGGATGGACACTATACCCAAGATTTTCATGCTTTCTATGTTCCCTACACAACGTTTCCTTCCTGCTGCTTCTCTTCAGCATATCGTTTCCCCTAAGTAGATGGCAATCGGCCACTTAGATCAAGCCATTATAACCCAAAATGGAAAATGGTTTAAATTTCATAAGTCACTGTCAAATTTAAATTGTGCCCAGTGGGGCAAAACGTGAAAGATAAAATGGGCTTTAGCCAGACCCACCTACCTTTTGTCATCTTAAACCCCAACACTGTCAAAAAGCCTTGGATCTCATGTCAGCTGTTTGCTTTAGTTGGGTATTAAGATACAAATGTTCAAACCATATTCCAACATGCCAACACCTTATGTGGATAAAACAGTAAGTGAAATATATTCCATGTAGCAAGTGTCCTCGCTGATGAGGACACACTCTAACCTCTTCCACCATCTGAAACAAACAAATTTCAACTCCTCTCATCCCACGCTGTCAATTCTTTTCTATATTTGGAGGCTCAGCTCCATCAGTATACCCAAGCCAATGGAATTCCTTTCTTGGAACCCAATGGAAGTACCGTCCTGGAAAAAAAACGTGGTGTCCCTCTGATCATGGCCTGCTAACATGGGGAATAAGTACCAAAATTTTCCCATTCCCTTGGGACCAAAAATTGTACACAATAATTAACATCGTTAATAAAAATTTAATCACAAATGGTAAAGCACTCCCATCAATCACTGCTGATCAGTTCCCACAAGAAGCCTTATGTAGAATGAAAAGGAATTTTACTCATGAACCAACTCTATTTTACCGGTATTTTCATCCCTAGCATACCTGTATGGGCTGGTCCTATATCAAAAACCTGGCAGCCTTCCCAGAAGCCTAATGTAAAATGGGAAATGGTAAATGTAAAACAATGGTTAAGTAGTGAGAACTGAGACACAGGAAGAAATGGACATACCATGGATGGGTGTTTTAAAATGGAAACATTGTAGTCATTGCTCCCATGGTCACACGAGACGAAAAGCCTCGAATGTGGAATGCTCTTCCAACAATCTCCAAGAGCTGGTTTGGAAGACCCTACCTCACTGCCCACTGTGTGATTGATAACCTATAATAAAATTATTAAGGACTAGTTATTCCAAGGGGCATTGTTATAATATATGGTCAAAACAACCACTATATTCAACCAACGGTAATCAAATTTACATTTTTATTAAGTCATAATAAAAGTTCAAGAGCAAAACTTACAAGTACTGCAAGATTATGCTGATGCGCCAACTTTTTCAGCAAATATCCAGCAGATAACATCAAAGCTCTCCCTGTATCCATCAACTTTGAATTTATGACTCTTTATAAATTATAGGCAGTATATGATATATTTAATCCTATGAAGGAACAAAGCATGGGAAACAGAGAAAACCATCTGTTTTCACTTTTCCTCTTTCCTATAAAAAATCTTCTATCTGAACATTCATCAAGAGACTCTGCAAATCAGTATACAAGTATAACCTATCAGAGAAAAAAACGAGGCATGCATATATACCTTGTGTGCTGTTGCTTCCAAGTACAGGGGAGATCAGCAATGAGATAGAATCAACTATTAGCAACCGCATCTGACAACCTCCTCCTCCATCCTGAACCAATGTTCACTTGGCCAATAACACTAGAAAATGTCAATCAAAGCCTAAGAGTATGAGAGATTCATCTAAATGAAACCTGATAATGAAACCTGATATCTCAAATGAGATTCTAGCTGATGTAGCACATCAAACATTGCAAAGATGTCGAACACAGAATGACACAATATGTTGCTCATTACTTTTTGGAGAATACTTTTTTTGTCCTGCATAGTAACAAAAAAGCAGAGACAAAAATCAGTTTCCATCGGAAGCAAGAATGGCAATGAAGAGTATAAAAACAATGATATGTTTCACCTGAGCAGACGCAAGATCATTGGTCTTTCCAAGGAAGTAAGCAATGCGTTCAGGTGAAAACGAGTTACCTGTATCTAAGTACAGCACCATATGATTACTTGCAACATTTGATGCTGTTTGTAGGCAAACCTAAACATCACCAAGAATTTGAATCAGCTTTTAAACAAACATAACAAACCCCAAGTTTACTGATGAAACAAACACTCTTCTGGTCTCATTATGAAAATACTTTTAAGATCAATCAGAATCTGATTAATTCACCCTAGAAACAATGTACTTCATTCTAATCTAGAGGGAAAACAACAACATTTGAGGCAATGTGTTGGAATTCAGTTTGTAAGCCAGCAGCGCCGCTAACATAAAGGTTTAGTTAGAAATGGATACGCTTTTGATATCCTTATCAAGTAGAACCTTACTAGTTAATTCTACAAGCAATGTACCTTGTCCGTCCTATTGCCAGCATTCAATGGATGCTGGCAACAGGAATAGTTGCATCACATGAATTTGAAGAATTAAAAGTAAATTGGGCTCTCACTTTATCACGAACTGTATTGGCAAGTGGCAACACTCATATGATTAGTTAACATTCAGTATCAAGAGGTTGAGCAAAGAGTGTGCATAAATACAATCTAAGACATCACATTTTCGGCATCAATTTTAGCTTAACCTACCAGCAGCTCTTCATTGACATTGAAAAAGTGCATTAATCATACAAGGGGAATATTCTTACTTGTGTTTTACCAGAGGACGACGGTCCAACTAATTCAGTTAATTGGCCAATACGAACCCCACCACCAAGTAACAAATCAATCCTACATTGATGATGAAATCATCAAACTTCCCATTGTAATTACAATGATAAATTTGAAAATTTTACCCTTGAATTCCAGTTGGTAAGACGTGTTTATTCCTTTTAGCATCCTCCAACAATTCCATTCCATTCAACCATGGCTGATGCATTTCATCTATGATAGATAGAACTTGTGTAATTCCCTACATATTCCCCAGCCAAAAGAATTTAAGAAAAAATAGTTCTCTACAATTACTAAAAACAAACGAAATAAAATAAGAGTTTCCTTGAGTTTAACCTCCTTTAATCTCTCAGAAGACATGCTTTGTTCCGCAAAAGCAGCTAACATATAGAGATCATGAATCAGGAAATCTTCAACTGAAAAGAGTTCATATGAAAAAATGAAATAATTAGACAGACCAAAAATGGAAAAAAGGGGGAGAAAACAAAGATTTTTCATTGTATAGAAATAAAAACAGACCTGAGAAAATGCCATGAGAAGCGCAGAAGTTCCGGAAACTGGAATCTATGATTGGATACTCAGTCTCTAGATTTATCAGAGGCGCCATGTATTTGTCTAAACTTGATACACAGGAGGAGAGTCAGCTTCGCTTTTTTCTTCAATTCATCATCATCTTGAAAATTATTCTCTTTGCCCCCGCTGAAAATAATATCATCCGTTTGATTACGCAAGATCTAAAACCCGTTTGATGGCCGGATATACGGCTCCACGACTTCGTACGGTGCAACCAGAACCACAAGATCACTCCCCCTGCAATAAAGAGTTCAGCTGACAAAAGACGCGTCTTTGACAGCCTGGCGTTGTCGCGAGTTGGCCCCAGCTCTCGAAACAAAACAAAGCGTCAAAAACCCCAATGCCAATATTCCGCCTTATCTCTCTTGCCGTCCCTCTCCCTAATTTCATTCACAGCCATGCCTCCAACTAAACCTCTCCATCTCTTTTTAATTTTAACGGTCACGATTAATCTCTGCTCTGCCGAATTACCTTCCTTTCGAGAAGCGCCGGCATTTCGAAACGGCAGAGAATGTCCCAGAACGACATGGTCATCCCTCGACAAACAGATTCACAACCCTTCCATTATCCACATCGCCATGACCTTAGACACCGCTTACCTCCGTGGCTCCGTCGCCGGAGTTTACTCCGTCCTCCACCACGCTACTTGTCCCGAGAACATTGTCTTCCATTTCATCACCACTCACAGCCACGGCACTAAACTCACGCGCGCCATTACCAGCACGTTCCCTTACCTCAACTTCCACATCTACTACTTCAACATTAACCTCGTGAAAGGGAAGATATCGTTATCCATCCGGCGTGCGCTGGATCAGCCTTTGAATTACGCGCGTATGTACTTGGCTGATCTACTTCCAGCTGGAGTCCGCCGGATCATCTACTTTGACTCTGACCTCATCGTCGTCGATGACGTCATTAATCTATGGAGCATCAATTTGAGAGGCCACGTGTTGGGAGCTCCCGAGTACTGCCACGCCAACTTCACCAACTACTTTACCTCCAAATTCTGGTCGAACCCGGTATTTACGGCGCCGTTTAAAGGGAGATCGAGGAACCCGTGTTACTTCAACACTGGCGTTATGGTAATCGATTTGTGGAAATGGAGAGGAGGGAAATACACAGAGAAGTTAGAGAACTGGATGAGGATTCAGAAACGACATCGTATCTACGAGCTAGGTTCTCTGCCTCCATTTTTGTTAGTTTTCGCCGGTGAGGTGGAAGGGATGGAGCACCGGTGGAATCAGCACGGACTCGGCGGTGACAACTTGGAAGGCTTATGCCGGGCTCTGCACCCTGGTCCGGTTAGCTTGTTGCATTGGAGCGGTAAGGGAAAGCCATGGCTCAGGATCGACTCCAAAAAACCTTGTCCGTTGGATTCCTTGTGGGCTCCTTACGATCTGTTTCGTTATCCGTCTTTGTTCTCCGATAGCTAATGTTCCTCGAAGATTCCGTTAAAGGATGAAGACACGTGTAAAAATAAGAAAGCACCTTGCAACCTTCTCGGTTAATGAAATTATGGAGTTACCACGGCTTTTGTAGCCTGTTAACCGCGGTGACTTTTCAAATTTTCATGGTAAAACTAAAGATCCTTTTGTTTATGAAAGTGGGGAGTGGGAATTTAAAGGTGTTATCTATATTATTTATATTCATTTGGGTTAATGTCGTCTAGATCAAGACACTATGTAAGTAAGTAGATGTGACCTCGTGGGGCTGTGTCGGTCGTATTATTCTTTTTTTCTTTTTTTCTTTTTTGTAATGGAAATTTTGGATCGCAAGACTGCGCGACATCTAATATAGAACTTATTTTCAGTATAGAATATATATATATTTTGTATGAGGTTTTCGTGACTGGAATTTACGACGTTGGCAAAAAATAAATTCGTCACGGATAAAGCTTATAACACAAACAATTCAACTGTTTCTTCTTGAGGAGAAACTAAGTGCAAGTTATTTTAACAAAATATTTAATATTTCATTGATTTAATTTAATTTTTAATATACTATATGATGAGATGTATAATTGAATATTTTTTAATATTTAATATATTTTTATCTTAAAGCTGGAAACGAATTTAAATACTCTAGATATTAAAATAAAAAAAACCAAAAATATAACTATAATCATATCAAAACATAAGAAGTTAGTGTTCGGATGCTGCGTCTTTTATGATCGATTCTGTATATGAATGAATTATTATTTTAGTCATTTAATTTTTAAAATATTTATTTTTATTGTCCAAAAATTTGTTTGTAATGAGTCGATTATTAATCTTTTAACAATATTTAAATTTGTTAGTAAATTTATATAAAAATCTCATAAAATATTTCTCTCTAATGTAAAATATTCGAACTTGAGTGTTTTCTTTCATATCATACTAATAAGAATATTGAAAAATATGATAAAAATAACATACTTCGAATTCATGTTGATTAAATGGTGAAGATGATAATTGGATTAAGATGATTGTAACAAATCAGTCCTATATGATGATAAAATCATCCAACTTCCTACTGTAATTACAAGTTTAATATTGTATTTTGTACCCCTTGAATTCCTTTTAGCATCTTCCAACACCATTCAACCATGGCTGATGCATAATGTCCCCCACCCAAAATTCGCCACAATTATTAAAAACAAACAAGTGAAAATAAGAGTTTCCATAAATTCTTAACCTCCTCTAATCTCTCAGGAGAAACATTTTGTTCTGCAAAAGCAGCTAACATATAGATATCACGATTCAGGAAATATTCCACTGAAAAGAGTTAACATGAAAAGAAAAGGGGGGAGAAAACAAAGATAATTTCTTTGTGTAACGGACATGAAAGAATGCCGTGAGAAGCGCAGAAGTTTCGGAAACTGGAATCTATGATCTCTAGATTTTTCAATGTCGCCATTTTGTAAACTGAATATGGAGGAGGAGAGTCAAGAGTTTATAGCTATGCGTTTGGTTCATTAAAAATGAAAAAACAGAGGAAGAGGGAGAGAAATAAAAATCTAATATGTGGCTGCTAGGATTCGAGCCCAGGCCTCTACGGCCACAAAGTAGAATTCTTACCACTAAACTACAGCCACTTTTCCTTTTTGGTACGCCAATTTATTTATATTTCCTTTAAAAGAAAGATGGATCATTCACGACCTCCACATTCATCGGGATACATGTTATTGGTATTTAAACTTTTAACGTTTACAAGCTATGTTTTTCCGGGATTCCTAATATGATTTGTAGTTTTTCTTCTAACGAGTTTTAAATCATACAATTCCAATTCCCCTTTTACTAGTATGCTATGAAATTGGAATTGTATACGCTGCTTGGATTTCATAATATCGTTTGGACCTGAGTGTTGGTGGTAAGGTTCGGAATGCAGCTTTAACATAGGAAAAGTTTTACTTGAACAGAATTAGACGCAGCAACTAGTGCAAAAATTTGATCAGAAGATACTAAGGGATCCTTTTGATGGGACAAGAAGCTCCATTCTGTGTTTGTTTTGTTGTGGAGCAGGTGGATTCATTGATGATCTTTTCAAGGCGTTTCTCGTATACATGGAGCCAAACACGATGACCAGATAAAGGCATCAATATCATCAGGCTGTCGATAATCGACAACAATGTTAGAAGAAATGTAGCAGACTTACCGCCCAATCCATTGTTCCCAACTAAGGGGATGATTGAACCACACTCGACAGCATGATGCTCAGAAGCTTAAATATACAACCTAAATTAGCCGCATCAATCACAAATCAGACTCGTTATAAACTAAATTAAATCTCACATGGAAATTATACATGAGAGCCATAAACAACCAGAAGGTAGAATATGTACGTTGTTGAAAAATACCATAATTTTCACGCACTTAGCTAAAGTATGAACTGGAAAACTGATACTTTAGGGCCTGCAGAACAGAAATGTTTTCATTAAAAAATTTATACTATAACTGTATAAAAGGCACTCAATCAGAATATTATGCTGAATTACAAATACAAGAGCAACATAATTGTATTATATTATATGTTGGTATAAGATACAGCTTCACCTCATGATGACATGTTGTGGTTAGCATGTTTGATATTGATATGCGGCAGTACTTATAGAGTGAAGCAACAGGATCCAAGGCTTTCTTACTTGCCTCTCTTTCTTGTCATCTTTTATGATAGATGGTTCATATCTTGGCTATTTCACAAGGTCATAAGGCCCAAGGAAAATAAATAAAAGCACACAGAAATGTTAAATACAATCGCTATCCACGGACTTGCTCATCAAAATAAGAGATTGAACTTACTTTTTTGGATGAAATACACAAAAATCGGTACGCTATCCATCACCATAACTATCAAATTTCAAGTCTCAAAGCAAAAGGATAACACGATCTTCCAAGAGGAACTTGCAAAATAGTAGTAGTAAAAAAAGTCTCGAGCTTCTATACTGTACTAAAACCAATCATGCAAGAAGCTCAAGACAAAGACATTAAAATCTGACTTTAAAAGAGACATTTAAAAGATAAGAGATCCACATTTAATTTATAAAATTTCTACTTTGCGAGAGAGAGAAAGAAAGAGACGATAGCCTGGAAATGTACCGAGGCGATCAAAGGAAAAGCTACTCGTTTTTTTTTTTTTGGCGGGGGGGATCCAAGGAGGGGATTTTAAAGGTTCGCCTCGTCAGCATCCATTAAATGGGCTTTAATGGAAGGCGAGTGAGGGCGTTGGAAAATATCCGGGCCGCCACCTGCTTCATTCTTTTTCGTTTTCTGGGTCAGGGTAAAAGAATGGCCTTTGATGGCTTAGATTTTGTGACTTAGGGTTGTTATTGAAGCCCATTTATTTATAAAATTAAAAAGCCTAATTTCCCATCAGATCCTAACGGCTTGTGTAGTCCTTACAGAGCTATTGGTCACTCTCTGTATCTTTCTTCATTTTTCGAAGCCTCCCCCCTTAAATAGTTTTTAAGTTTGTTTTTATAAATCTTTTTTTTGGGTTTAGGGTTTATGAGGGTTTGAGGCAGCAGCAACCTATGGCTCCCAAAGGTATTTGGATTAGGATTTTACTAATTTTGAACAACTTTGATTTCACTATTTTTTTAAAAAAAAAATTTGTAATGCTTGCTCTAGTTCTATCTTGCTTTTGATATGTACAATGAGAATACCAGTTCTCTACTGTATTCTCGTGGTTTATGAGGAGCTGAAATCAGCTTAAAATTTTGCTTTATTTTGGGATTTCAGAGGGTTTTAGCATTCTATTACGGTTATAAACTTTATTGCTCTGTTAACTCTGGATTTACTCTTCTGATACTGGTTTTTATAAGGGGATAGAT